AAAATTCAGAGCTGCTAGTGCTGCTCGTGCAGTGTGTGTGTGTGTGTGTGTGTGCGCGCTCTGTCTTCTACCTCTAGCCAAAGGTGTTGTGTGGGTGCTGGTGAGCTCGCTGCTTACATGCGCAGAGAGATCGAGGGCCAACAAGTGGTATCGGAAGCCGCCAGGAGGTCTGCATTGCCCGGCTGATCACCAGCAATGGCTGGCGATGATGGCTCCTCGGTGGGTGCCGACGGAGGAGATCCCCCGTGCAGTCATCCACCACCCGCAAGCGCTGGACATGTAGACCCACACCATTGAGGACTTGATTGGACGCTTGCGGGGAAGCGATGCTGGACATTTCCTCAATGCGGGGCTACCCACTCCTGTGTGACAGCTGCCTGGCTGGGAAACAGAGGACGGCCGCGCGTCGCTGCAGCTCGCTCCAGCGCGTCCCGCCGCCCCGCGTTTCTGCTTGGTGTAAGCGTTTGGACCGTAGTTGAAGGTCGGCCCGACCGACGGGCCAGCGCGAGCCTCTGGTGGCTGGTACGGTTGCGCCGTGTCATCACCCGCCGCGCTGCCGTGCGCTGAGTCGATGGGGGTGCGCGCGGGTGAATTAGGGAAAAGTCAGGGGGTTAAGTGAGAAGGTCTAAGATAGGAGAAAATAGTGTTAGTACTTAGTTGTAAATTGGGAGGAGTTCGAGGTCTCTTTTGCAAAATCTCCAACGCGCGCGGGCTCCCTCACCGCGGGCCGCCTTGCGAGCGGGCCGGCCTCGCGTGGGCCGCGCCAGCGGGCCGCTGCGCTTGTGGTGTCGTGCGGGCCGCGCGGGAGGTTTTCTTTTTCATAAGGAATTAGCAATGGTTCCTAATTTAATTTTCGAGCTGATCTTTGGTAAATCATAAAAAAATCATGTAGGTGTCCAAAAATTGTGAAACAAATTTTGTTAGATTCATAAAATTGTGCTCTATCAGTTGGTGTATTTAGTTCATGTTTATACGTGTTGACATTAGGAGCTATTAAATCATTTGAGGATGCTTAATAATATTAAGTTAATTATTATAGTAATTTTTTATGGTAAATTGGTGATAGCTTTAATCCTGAAAATTTTATAGTAGCTTCATTGTATTATTATGTGCTCACTGTAATTTTTGAAGCCTTAGAATAGACTAAACATTAGGGTAGTTAAATGCTCTTTGTTTTAATATACATTAAAACATTAGTAGAAATAAAGATATACCCTTAAATTGTAAAACTGAGTGTTTGTTAGTTGAATCCAACACCTTGCTTGATGAAGATGATAGTTAGCTTAGTATCTTAGTCATTAGAGCTAGTTTAGTAGCTTGGTATGCGCATTCTTAGTTTCAGAGTTGCTGTTGCCTGAATGCTAAGTGTTGCATTATCATCGCATGCATATAGAGAACGGGTTGGCGGAGATCGTGACCACCGGCGATCACGAGTTTGAGGAGATCGTCGAGGAGTATGAGGAGGAGATTCTCGTACAGGAGGTCCCGGAGCCGCCACTGACTGACTCAGCTGACACCGCGCCTACCAAGGCAAGCCCCGGTTCATAACCTCTATTTGATAATTCACCGTATATATGTGTTGTACATTTACGTTACAGGAATTTTATGGAAACCACATGCATAGATACACCTGTCCTAAGAGTCTTACTAGTGCAGGTTCGAGTAGATGCTATGCTTAGGTCATCGGTAGCGTGAGTAACCTGTCGTTGCTCACAATAGGGGATTATTATTACTCTCATACTAAAATGATCAAAGGTAAAATGGAGACAGGGCAGGGATATGGTATGTGTATTGGTGGGTGTAGCAGGTTGTGTCCCGCGACCGACGGAACTTAGCTTGGTTACACTGTTTTCCCTGTTCGTGTCGATTAAGGACCGTCCATTGCTGTAGATGATAGTCAGATCACAGACTTATTATCCTGAGCACATACTTGCTTCTGTGAGCAGGAAGGCTCGTAATGCTCTTGTCGTGGGTTCCGGCTCTTTCTAGACCGACTGATTGGAGACGGAGAAAGGTGAAGGTCTAAGCACCATACTGAGACCGAGTCTCAAGTTTGGGGGCTTGGACTCCAAGTTTGGACGGGGACCTGGACCCCGTGACAGGAGTGGAATGTGTTGGTCTTGTTTGTGCCTGGCGTACAAACGGGGCGTGTGTTTCAGGGTACCCAGCTGGGATACATTGGTTCGCGAATCGCCGTTTCTGTGAGACGGTACGACTTGGCTATGGTCTAGCACCGTAATAAGAACTGAAAGATGAAAGATGGTGAAATGGTTCTGATTGCTTAACCCTTGCTTCAAAGTAGAACAGGTGCTTACCTAGAATGGTTAGCTAATAAAGTAATCATGACTGTTAATTAAACTTGATCTTAAAGACGTACTTCTAGTAATGTTTTTCGCAAACAAAAAGAAAACAGCAAATCCATATTGCCTATCATATCCTTAAGAGTCGGGACACTATTCCCACTAGTCGGGTAAGTCTTGCGAGTACATTGTGTACTCAGGGTTTATTTTACCCCTGTTGCAAGTGCAGCTTGAGGAGTAGCTCTTGCGTGGAGGATTCTTCTGGTGGGCACAGACGAATCCTTGTATCGTTTCCGCTAAATGTTTATTTTCATTCCGTTGTTTAATTATCGCACTCTGAACTCTGGTATTGTAATAAATAATTTTCAAGAACTCTTGTTGTATGAAATAGACTAAGTATTGTAAGCTCGTACTCATTATTGGATTCTGGATGTAAAACGTGGATTGTTTCCGAGTTCTCCCTTGGGGTGTGCTCGACGGAATTGTCCGATGTAGCTCACTTTCAAGGTGCTTAGTGTCTAGTAGAAGACGAGCGCCTCCGAAAGCGTGTTATTTCGGGCGGTTCGCCGCCAGCAGACCACCACCCCATGATCGCTTCATAGCAGAAGGCCGCGACCACGGCGGCAGCTTCTGCCTGCCACTCGGTGGCAGCCAACATGCGCGCCGAAAGCAGCCGCCAAGACGCCTCCGCCTCGCCTGCCACGCCGCTGCCCGTTCGCGCCCGTCCGGTGGCTTGGCAAATGGGACAACACCTGCCCGCCCGCTGGAGGTGGTGGAGCCATGGGAAGAGTGGGTAGAACGATTGGACCGGTTGGACATGGCTACGGATTGAGGATTGGTAAGGAGGAAAAACCCAGGTAAAACTAGGCTCCGATACCATTTGTTGGACACAAGTCACATGTTTGGGGCTAGATTTCCATTTCATTAGCCTTACCACAAACCATGGTAGGTTGGGGATACATATAGGGCTGCATACTTGGTCCTTAAGAAAAGATTACAGCATATCCTAGAGATGCTAAAGTAGATGCTAAAGCAAGATAGGATAAAGTAGATGCTAAAGCAAGATAAGATAAGGGCTAACACAGCCACCAACTACTCTAGATAAATATCCTAAGTAGATAAGCACAAGACTTATAGCTGTCACGGCGAAGGTGGACGCGACGCACTACCGGAGCATCATCAGCGGGCTGCGCTATCTGACTCATACTCAGCCGAACATCAGTCGGTTCATGGAGGATCCTCGCGAGGATCATTGGAATGAGGTGAAGCTGGTGCTGCGCTACGTCAGGGGGATGGTGGATCAAGGGATCGTCATCCCCAAGTCTGGTGGCGGAGGTGGGCTGCAACTCACAATCTTCAGCAAAGCACTTCCCAAGACCGACGACGAAGGTGGGCTGCGGCTCATAGTCTTCCGCGATGCAAACATGGCGGGCGACATTGATGGGCAACAGAGCACCTCTGGTGTGCTCATCTTCCTCGGATCCGCCCCAATTGCATGGCAGACGCTGAAGCAGAAGATCGTGACGCTGTCAACATGTGAGGCGGAGTATGTTCCAGCAGCCACGGCGGCGTGCCAAGCGGTTTGGTTGCGCCAGCTGCTAGGCGAGCTAACCGGCGAGGAAGCTCGTCGGCCAGCTCTGATGGTGGACAATTAGCCCGCCATCGCCCTCGCCAAGAACCCTGTCATCAAGTTCCATTTTCTTCGGGACTACATCGAAGGACAGATCGTCATCAAGTTCGTCGAGACTGGCCAACAGCTCGTTGACATCCTCACCAAGTCACTTGGACGACTTCGGTTCTCGGAGCTGAAGAAAAAGATTGGCATGGCTGAGGTCAAGGCATCGGGTTAGCAGCAGGATTAGAGGAAGAATTGTAAGACATAATCTGCTGCCGCTGCAAGCAATTGCAGACAAAGTTCCTTGCTACTGCAGTGCAATTTCCTTGCAGCTGCAGGACAATTTCCTAGCAAGGCTTAGCAGCCAAGTAGGACTGTACAGTAGACTAGACTTGACTGCTACAGCAATCAACCTTCTCTTAGGTAATTTCTAGGAAAGCCACTAGGGCTGTTTTCTATAGTCTCTATCAGCTATAAATAGAAGGTAAAGGCACCAGCCTGCAACAGTTCAGCTGCATCACACATTTAAAATTCAGAGCTGCTAGTGCTGTGTGTGTGTGTGTGTGTGTGTGTGGGGGGTGCTCTCTTCTTCTACCTCCAGCCAAAGGTGTTGTGTGGGTGCTGGTGAGCTCGATGCTCACCTATGGGGAAAGATCGAGGGCCAACACTTTGCATATCCTTCAATTTCAAAATGTGCATATGATGATTAAAATCTAACAAGGCCATCCTGTTTGGCAAGTTCATACCTAGAGTTCCCAACACATCAAGGAACTCACAATGAAACAAAATGTAGCCATTAGCAGACATTTAGCGTTCAGAAGATTTCAATATAGAAGTTCCGCAATAATTTTACTCGACTTGACAGGCTCAAAACAGAATTAGTAATCTTCTAATTGATTCAAAACTTTTTGTAGAAATTTGCATGCTTGTTTGGGTTACAATGCAAGCTTCAAAGTTCAAACCAAGAGAAAATAATTCCCAAATAAATGTCACTAAAATATTGCTCTTCTAGAAAGCAAGATGGGGAGAGAAGTGAGTATCAATAATATCTCAAAAGATTACTCAAACACAACTCCAACAGTTCACTACAATAAAGGGATTAAGCAAATATCATCTGGCTCAGCTATATGCATATAGCATCCAGTATTGATTGCACTGTATGTTGTTAAAGCTGTAAGAACAACAACATAATTTGTTGAAGATAAAATTCTAAACAATAGTATTGATAGTTGCACATAGTTGTACCTGGAAAGCTCAAAGCAAGGCCTGTGCAACAACCAGCCATACCCGCATTGATCGCTGCAAAAAGGCATTTCATTGATATTCATACTTGCACCTTCATGTGCTAACAAAGTAATAGAACTACAGCAAAGTGCTTACTGTCATCTTTCCCACGCAGTCTTCTTAACAAGCACATGATGAAACTTTGGACACCAGCAAGAGCAGCAAAAGTCTAATAACGAATAAAGAGGTCATATGAGCAATCTTTCGTATGAAAAGATGCTCAATATATCAAAAGTAAACATTATGATCAATTAACCTTGGCAGAAGATCCAGCAATGCTGAGAGAAGCTTTCGTACCTTGGTTTGTGATCAAACCTTTTCCTGTAACAGAAAAAATAAAAAAATGAAATAAGTAAAATTTAGAGAATAAAATCAAATGTTAAAGAACACTCTGAGATATTCCCCCTTATTGCAATTTGCAGAATACCTCATTTGATTGCTACAGTAAGCTAATTTCTCTCTACCTCAGACACTAATAGACATGGAAACATTTCTCATTAAATTGTGGAAGATTCAACACAGTTGAACTAAAGGTAAAACATAGGCATGACAAGAGGGTTCGGTGAGGCTATCCTATCAGTTTGTTTGGACAGTTGCCGGAGGTGTGAGCCCTAAGAATTTGTCCAAGCATCACATTGCCTCCCACACTCTCTTTGTATGTAGGTCATGACATTTCAGTATTTTATTTCTTTTGATTTGATGGTATACTCAGAAAAGGTTGTTATGTTTATCCATACTTTCTATGCTCAGGTAAGCAGTTGGCGATTAGTGGTATACGACTAAGGACTCCATTTCGATTGATCCCTACAGAGGATCGAGAGCTCCAGAATGGATCTGGAAGCAAGGTGAACTGACAATGGCAAAGCTCTGTTCCAACAAAGCTGCCTCTTGTAGTGAAAATGTGCATCTTCCATCTTGAGACACTAACTTCATCCCAACAACCTATCCTCAAATTCTGAAACAAGTTAACAAACTCATAGTTTTTTTTTCTGTTTCCTTTTCAATGCTCCTTGAAAAATGTCACGCCGAACATGTTTGGCTACAGTTGGGTTTTCTTTCCCATTTTTGGTAAGAAACATTTGGACACTTCAGTGGTCAGAATAACAAATTTGGAACAGATCCTACACTACACAAAAAGATCAAAGTGAGCCTGACATGACTTTTCCCATGAGGTTATTGCTTAAGGACAAAATTCTATCAAGCCCTCATCTATCCATAATATTAAAGAGCAGAAGGTTTCTTCGTCCTTTGTCACTCACAACTGTCAAATGGAGATCCAATGGACTCAATCCTTTCCCGTGTCCGTACAGGTTAATGTGGTGCGTCAAAGTACAGGACCAAGTCCGATTCTAAAACAAATTGAAATACATAGTATTTCCATGGTCGGCCGCTCACTCCTGTGCTGGTATGAGTTAGAGCACGGTGTTCAGGCATGGTACAAAGTCCAATCTCAAAACGAATTGGAACACACGATGCGGTCAGTGATAAATCTCTAAGACTCCCATATCCATACAATTTAGAGCAGTACGTAGTTTGATTCGTAGACATAAGAACAGATAACACGATCATTGCATAAATCTCTACATTGAAAGTCGTCTAGATAACCACACAGCAAGTTGTACGTTACGTTGCAATGCACAGGAATGTTTGCTAATAATGACTAACTATTCGACTAACTATTTGACTGGAACAGAAACTTCCCCATCAACACAGGCCATCAACAGAAGCCGGAATTTTGGGAACCACAGTCATGCTAATACAACGGAACTAACTAGCCGAGCACCACGACGAGTGCTCCTAGATTGGAAACGGCAAGGGAGCGAATTGGAACGACCGAGGAAAGGGAACTAGAGGACACTACCGTATCCGACGAGGGAGCCGACGAAGGCACCGGCGGCTAGGTCCCCGGCGGAGTGGAGAAGGCATACGACCGGCGCGGCGATCGGCGTTGGCGGCGCCGCGCCCTGCTCGTCCCCGTCCCACTCTCGCCCGCGCCGAGCCGCCATCTTCTCGGTTTGCTTCATTTGCGCCTTTTCCGGTCTTTCCTCTTCCACACTCGTTTTCCCCTTCTTCGTTATCTTCCCAGGTTTAACGCTGTCGTTTAAGGAAAAAAAAACGCTGTCGTTCCGGAAAAAAAAAAAAAGGCGGGTTGAATTCGTATACCATTATAATTTCCCACTTTGGAGAAAATATCATCACTATTTGTCTATTTTGAAGCATGACATTACAGCTCTTCGTTTTCTCCAAGAATGTCATACCATACATCCATACGTATAGAGACGACTTAGGCCCAGCTATAGACGTATAAGACGATGAGTATCTTCGAATAGACTCAAATACCCTCAGCTCCCTATCCATAGCAGCCTCTCACCAATCAGCGACGCGCGGACCCCACATGTCATCTTCTTCCTCCTCTTCCCATCTTCCCCTTGGTGACGCTCGGTCTTCTTCCCTACCTGCCGCCGCTTATCCCCTCGGGTCACGCTGTCACTGGCATTGCTGGCTCCGGTCCCCCGACCGTCCGGCCCCCGCCGCGCCCTAGCCGCCCGGGTGTGGAAAGGTCGCCTCCGCCGCAAGACCGAGAGACCCTAGAGGCGGTCACTCACTGTCCCTCCCAGGCCACGCCGGCCACCAGCCATGGCGGCGCAGAGGCCGTGTCCAGATCACGCTAGCCTCGCCAAGGCCGTGCCGCCCCGCCTAGGCCGAGCACCACTAGCATGTGCGCGAGAGCCGCCACCATTGGTAAGAGAAGGAGAGGTGAGGAAGGGGATGATAAGTGGGGCCTACACGTCGGTGAGTAAAGAGAGGGGGAGTAGTTGAGGGCAGTATCGTCCATATAGAAATACATGTATGTATCATAAGCCTCAAGTCTTTTCTGAGCGTACACCATGGCGTATTTCAAATAATCAAAGAATCATAATGGTATGCTTTAAAATAGATAAATAGTAATAGTAGTTCTTCACAAAATGTTGTAAAAAGCGATGTCGAGCTTGGTCCACCTGACAGATTACTCATTCATTTTTAAAATAAATCAATGGCTGTTTGTCTGGATACCTAGCCAAAAATTGATTTTTTTTTTGACAGAATGAATAGGTAAATTAACTCACCTACTCATATGAAGGCATAAGACATCTGGCCACGATTAAATAAGAGTTACATGTGTTATTTTTTATCCTATAATATATTCTAAAATTCATATCATGTACTTCATCTGTTACAAGTTTTAAGATGTTTGGCTTTTCTGGATATATTGCTTTTACTATGCATATCTAAGTACATAGCAAAAGCCATAAATTTAAAAAAAACTAAAACTTCTTATATTTGGAAGGAAAGGAGTATTATATTTTAGCATAGGGGGGTAAACGATGAGATACTGAATTGGGGTCAGATAGTTCTATTGCTTCTTTGGTTTGTGTCGGTGTTTTCGGACCACCGACGAGTAAATTTGTATTTCCGCGTCTGGCTTGGATGGTGTGCTCAGAGGACACAATGGTTTGTACTGGTTCGGGTGGAACGTCTCTACGTCCAGTTTGTTACTGCTCGTGTTACCGGCACTTGGTTTACAGTAGGGGTTACAAACGGGCGAGAGAGGGAAAGGATCCCAAGTCTCTAGTGAAATGAGTGAACGGGTGTTGAGAGTTCGATCGATGCTCAGCCGTGTGTTCGTGTCATGCTCTTGTGTTTTTATCTCGTGGTTTTCCATGTGCGGATTTTTTTCCCTTTTATTGGGCGCACTGCTTCCCCTTTTATAGGCGAAGGGAAAGCGCGGGTTATAGCGGAAGAAAAAGAGAAGAAGGCTTCTAGGGTCGTCGAGTCCTTCATCTCCTTCACGCGGGTCCCACCGATCCTGTAGATGTCAACAGGGACGGCTCCACGTCGCGGCCCTGTTCGTCACTGGCGCCATGCGCAGGCATCATCTGCCGGTCATGGCGTTCCATTCCATCCCAGCGGACGTCATGATGAACTGACGCGCCTGTCGACGTTCGTACGAGGGTTAGGTAGAACAGCACCGGCACGCCCGACGCTGTTCTTGATGTGAATCCTTAGGCATGGCCCATCATAGCCATGGGTTACATCGAGGCGTGTCAGTCTCTTCCCTGGTGTCAGAGTTTTGACCCAGGCCCATACGCTTGGACCTAGAGTGGTTGGCGGCGGTATAGGTCCCCGTCGAACGAGACGGAAACCGCGTCCTTTGGGTCGAGCGAGACGGAGCCCGCACCCAAGGGGTCGAGCGAGACGGAGACCGCGTCCTTGGGGTCGGGCGAGACGGAGCCTGCGGCCTTGGGCGAGACTCCCGCGTCCTTGGGGTCGGGCGAGACGGAGCCCGCACCCAAGGGGTCGAGCGAGACAAAGCTCGCACCCAAGGGGTTGAGTGAGACGGAAACCGCGTCCTTGGAGTTGGGCGAGACGGAGCCCGCGTCCTTGGGGTTGAGCGAGACAGAGCCCGCACCCATGGGGTCGGGCAAGACGAAGCCCATGGCCTTGGGCGAGACCCCCGCGTCCTTGGGGTCGGGCGAGATGGAGCCCATACCTAAGGGGTCGAGCGAGACCCCCACGTCCTTGGGGTAGACGGAGCCCGTACCCAAGGGGCTGGGCAAGATGGAAACCACATCCTTAGGGTTAGGCGAGACAAAGCCCGTGGGGTCGGGCGAGACGGAGCCCGCGGCCTTAGGCAAGACCCCCGTGGCCTTAGGGTCGGGTGAGATGGAGACTGCATCCTTGGGGTCTGGCGAGACGAAGCCCACACCCAAGGGATCAGGCGAGACGGAGCCCGCGGCCTTGGGCAAGACCCCCACGGCCTTGGGGTCAGACGAGACCTTTTAATACATCTTGCTGCATCCGGGGAAGTCTGCGTGGGCGCTCACTTCCTTGTTTTGGGTATCCCTAATATCGATACCCGATAGTAGCCCCCGAGCCTGCGGATGAGTAGAATACTCCTTTGGAGGCTTTTCCGGATGGGAGGACTCTGAGGGCCTTGGCCTTCTTTTTGTAGCCCACGGCGTGTCCTGGTAGTGTGGCGGTTCCCTTTTGTCATGATCGGTCTTTTCGAGGGCATCTAACCGTACGATTCCAGAGGTCGGAAAGATTTTTCTTGATTTCGGTCCCTAGGGTCCGATCGGTCCACCATCATACTACGACCGCACGTTCAGTCTCCTTGCGAGTCCAACTTTCCTTGAGCCCCCATGCATAGCAGGGGTCTGATCGAGGGTCGGCTTGTCCTAGTGATCGTCGTCCCTCAAGTGTTTTCTTTGATAAAATGGAGGGGCTGAGCCGTGCCATGTTTTTCCTTGATGGACGAAACATGGTGCTCGGTGAGCTGTTAACAGGCTAGTCCGAGTGGGGCCTCGGTTTCCTGTTCGCGGGGGTCCGGCATGGGTCAGCTGGTGACTGACTCTAGACTCTTGGTGGTTAATGCATATAGTTCTTGGGTCCGTTCGACCGGTCCCGAGGGCTCGTTGCCTTTCTTTGAGGGAAAACCATGGACTAGGAACCGACCAAGACTCAGACGTGGGCCGGGATGCCCGTGGCGCTCGTGTGCTCGGGTACTCACCACTAGTGGGCCCATCCCTTTCCAACGAGCAGCAGTGAGCTCGTCGGAGGGCCAGCCTTCGAACTCCTAGGCCTCAATTGGGTCGTAGGAGCGTTTTCACCTTTGTATTCCACCTTACCTACGATGGTTCTTGGCCCATTGAATGGGTGAGCCGTCATCCGGCATATCCTTCAAGGGTACGGCCAGAGATTGCGTGTGCACCATCTTCGGAGGGAGGTGACATGATGCAGCATAGTGGGCGTGCAAATCTAGGCGGACGGTTTGCCCTGCTCCATCCTATAAATAGCGGCCTCCCCCTTTGTGTTCCTACACACCAAAATCGTAGCCTTACCTTCTCTGTTTCTCCGCCGTCGCCATTCGGATCTGCCATGCTTGCTAGTCCACCATCGGAGCCCTAGATCTGTAGCCTTCGCTCCTCCGCCGTCGCCTTTGCATATCCATAGCCACCTCCATCCTCTATGGATTTGTGGCATCGCTCCGATGTTACCTATGCACGCATGGAGGGCCTCGTCAAGCGTGGTCTTCTCCGTGGGTGGACCGATGCAGCGGAGTGGCTTGTGCCCAGCCACGAGGAGGCACCGGCGCCGCCCGATGGCTACGTCGTCTCCTTCGCACTCTTCCACAAGCGCAGACTCATGGCTCCTCCTCACCCGTTCTTCTAGGGTCTGCTACACCATTATCAGATCGAGCTGCAGCACTTGAACCCCAACAGGATTCAGCACATCGCGATGTGCGAGGGGTACCTGTGGATCGAGCCCCACTTCGAGCTCTAGAGATATTTCTTCTCCATCTCCTTGATGAAGAAGAAGGAGAGAGGCTAGGAGACCCCAGTGCTGATGGGATGCACGGGCATCCACCTCTAGGGGCAGCGAGCGGTCGAGTACATGCCCTACCAGCTCTCTAGATCCAACAAGTGGTGGCACTCGCATTGGTTCTACCTGAAGGACAACCCTGCCGCACCCTTGCCTGTCTTCTCTGGGTGTTTGATCAAAGAGGTTCCGCCATCATGGCCGTGGGGGCCACCCATCAAGGAGAAGAAGAGGATGTGCGACCTCCTCGAGGCCATCGTGTTCTTGAAGACCCACGGCCTCCATGGGGCTAGCGTCATTGGGGGCTATCACGCGAGAAGGGTGGCGCCCCTGATCGCGTGTGTCCTCCCGCTGTACGAGATGACGCCCAATGCATAGCTCGTCGGGACGATGCTCACCTAGGGGTCACGCAGCACATCAAGGAGCCCATGGGGGAAGGCGATACCGTGTTCCTGACCCTGGGGCATCCCATGATGCGGTCAGACACAGGCTTCATCGAGCTGCCGACGGGGTTAGTCTTCCGAGACTTCGTTGCGTTGCTGCCAGAGCACGTGCCTATGAGGGCGGTGAACCGTGCCGCGGATGAGCAACAGAAGAAGAAGAAGGACGACAAGGAGAAGAAACGGCGGTTGAAGCAGTGAGTGAAGCTACAGCGAGGGAAGCG